ATATATATATATATATATATATACACCTGGAAAAAAGTTAAGCACGGATTCATTCTCTAAATAAGCCTTTACTGCCCTAGAGCGATGAGCGTTGTCATCCATGAATAAAGGTCTTGACGCTAACGTGTGGTTGTCAAAATGAGGCACAACTACAGGTGTAAGCACGTCCCTGGTGTACTTTTCGCCAGTAAGGTTGCCATTGATTGTTACCAAATCCAGCTTGCAATCACTCTGAATCCAGCACTGATGTTGAGTTACAGCAATATCTGGTAAATTACTTTAAATTGCAATAAGTGCCATATAATGAATTTGGGTTATTATCATAATTTATTCCTTTTGCAAGTGTACATAACATGTTATTTCATGTATTTGGTTGTTGAAAAAGTGTAAATTAAAACAATGTTGGATATAAAGTACTGATTCTTTTTACTTTGAGAATTGCTTATACATTAAAACAGGTACACACACACATGTATATAAGAGCTCAAAATACAAAGTTAATTATGACAGACTTGTATGTACAATAAATAAGTACAAAGTAACCAATCCTCCACACAAGTTTTCACTCATATTATAATTATAAAAGCCAATAATATTTTTGTTTGTTGTTAAGTGCAAAGCTACACAATGGGCTAACTGTGCTCTGCCAAAATTGAGCACTGAAACCAAACTTTTGGTGTTATAAGACCTCAAACTCATCACTGAGCCACTTGGAAAGGGGAGCAAGTCAGTAATAAGTGTAAATACAAGTTTATAATTTCAGCATCATTACAGATGTGATATGCAGGAATATCATACGTTTACTACTTGATTTTATTAATACCGATTTTAAAAAATATTTTCCTTTAATCTGTTTCTATGCAGTATTGTATAAAAAGTTCTCCAAAAACTGTTGAATTATTTTTGTTCAACTTAACTTTATTTCTTTGTTGTTCGGACATTGTGGAGGATAAGTCATCGATAGCAGTCCTTTATTGGCCAAGTAGATGATATCTGTAGAATACAACCTTTGTATATTATAAGAAGACAACCAGATATTTTCCACATAAATAAATAGTGTACTACACTTCATATTACCTGTGCAGTCTATTTATTTCTTAGCTTGAAACTCAATCGTTTGGTTAAAATGAAGTTCCTTTGTAATTACCATAAAACTGTGATTTTGACAGAATTGTATATTTTTGGAATCATGTCACTTATTGTTTATATTTAACTTCTTAAATTACTGTCATGTGTGAAAGAAGGATTAGTGTTACATGATATTTCTTTAACCTTAAATCAAAGTTTACTCATATTAAGGTCATTAAGTACAGTAGAATTTCAAAATACTAGCAAACATATTAAGTTATAATTCTGGTCCCACTGTACTGATTTTTGATATGTGGTGGCAAGAGACTATATTTCTGTTAAGAATGATGTATCAGTGTATTGGACACAAATATACTGAATAAAACAAATATTAATCCAAAATAACAAGTTATCCTTGACCATTTATGGCCAGAAAACTGCAGGAAAAAACTCCATTTGTAGTCTCAAAATAAAAATTGTATGTTTCAGTCTTTTTTTTTGTTTTCACTGTCCTATCAACTATGAAATGAGTATTTCTGCACACTGAACAGTTATTGCTGCTTTTTCTTCTTTGATGGAGATTTATCGGAGCCAGAACTATCATCTTTCTGAACTGGACGATGACGACGTGACTGAGATACAGTTGCTACTGAAGAAAATTGTTGAGCTCTTAGACGTGCTCGACGAGTTCCTACACTTTCCTCTCCTTCATCTTCTTCATTAATATCACCTTCATCAAAGATTGAATCCTGAAGAAAGAAAGAAACAAGAAAAGTTTACTTATGTTTTTTCCTAACAACTTTTCTTCTCATTGTTTAACCCTTTCCAGAATGGAGGGTGTCACTGATATCCCTTGATAGTTTTCCTTCTTTGAATATTATTTTAATTACTTGAAAGTTAATTAGCGTATTAAACCAAATTTTCATACCTAAAAACCTTATCAGATTTTTTAATAAAGGCTCTCAACTACATAAAGCAATGTAAAGTACAGAATCAAGCTATTCTTACCTGGTTGGGATGCTTATACCTCTCTTGAAACTGTTTTATTTTTCTGTAAGAAAACACAAAATTAAATGTTAATTTATAAATATATATACACACATACATATGTGTGTGTGTTTTAGGACAAAAAGAATGATGGAAGATATCTCAATAAGTCTACAAGTAATGTTTGAGACTTCATTCTAAACTCGCCCATTATTGATCTACTGGAAGAACTCATCTGAGAGACTCTCATCCACTGCATTTCTTTCATACACCAGAGATAATCCAAAAGAAAAAAAAAATCCTATTTCATAGTGTTCTCGCTTCTGTTATCTGTTTGGACAACGTGTATGTTCTTTCAATCACAGTACCCTCCCTATTCTGATATAAAGCAAGAACACAAGTCCAAAGTCTGTTTGTTTGTTTGAATTTCGCACAAAGCTACACAAGGGCTATCTGCACTAGCCGTCACTAATTTACCAGTGTAAGACTAGAGGGAAGGCAGCTAGTCATCACCACCTACCACCAACTCTTGGGCTACTCTTTTACTAATGAATAGTGTGATTGACCGTCACTTTATAATGCTCTTACGGTTGAAAGGGCGAGTATGTTTGGTGGGACGGGGTGATAGCAGTGCTATAAATAAATGTGAAAATGTCTGTAACATAAAAACACAGAATGATAACTATTATATTTAGGATTACATAAGAAAGAAAGAAAGCGAAAATCTCTCATACACCAAACTTAGGAAATCAACTAATGTTAAAATAACAATAGTTTTCACATTATTTATATTTTTCTTATCTTCAATTCTGTAAGTTTTATGATATTAGTTTCAGTTACTACCACCTGTTACTAATTTTATGGGATCATTCCTTATTCAATAGTGAAATACAGCATTCTATTTAAGTTTCATCACTGTTATTTTAAACTTTAGTTTTTGACGTCATGAAAATTATCAGACACCAATAAGTGTGCTCCTTATTTTAGAGCTGTTCAGGTGGTAAGCCTAGTTACTAACCAAAATATGATAATCAATGAGTCATTTTATATCTCTGGTATTTTGTAGTTAAACAGAAAAAAATGCAATATAGTATTTGTAGGTTATTTCAATAGAGTTTGTTTGTGTGTTGGATATTCACACAAAGATACAATTACACTAGAGAGAAGGCAGCTAGTCAACAGCATCTACTGCCAACTCATGAGCTACTCTAATCGAATAGTGGGATCTACCATCACTCTTATATTGCACCCACGACCCAATGAAGCATAATTTCGTGACAACAGGTCATGAGCCATGGACCCTTGTATTTCAGAATACTAACCATTAGGCCACATCCAACCCTATTTGAATAGTAACAAGAGAAGATATGTATGTAGCAATTTTTATTTCAAGATAAACTCAAATTACTCACTCGTTTATTTCTTCATAAACATCACCAGACACGATGTTTAATGTCTGAACACTATCAATGCTTTGTGCTTCCTTCATTTTTGTATAGTGTTCATGAATGGCCTGAAGTTGCTGTCAATGATGAAAATAAAGATGTTAAGTTATAGAAATAAACAATCCTTTTGAAAACAAGTCCTCAAGCATAAATTAATTAAAAATAAAAAAATTTTAAAACCAAGTTAAAACATTTAAAAGTCTGAAGCTAATTTTTCAGCAGGGTTTTGTTATTTGATTACATTTATGTATTTTCAGTATACTTCTTTAAATTATGTTACCTGATGCTGTATAATTGTATAGCTAAAGACAACAGCAGCTACAACAACTGGGGACTTAGGCCTTTTTTACAAAACAATAACTTAAGACACCAAACATTACCCTAGATACTCAGAAAAAATAACACAAAACCATTAACTATTAATTGTACTTAACTACCAGGAAAATACTGATCAAAATTTAAACAACATATTGTCCTCTCAAGTATATGTTACCTATTTTATCAAGTGAAATGTAATTCAAAATAGTTTTCTGACTAATGTCTTACATTTATACTAATAAAACGGCCTGTGTGTGTGTGTGTGTGTGTGTCAGCACCATAGCTCCAAGAGGAAAGAACCTAGAGACCTAAAACTCTGCACGAATACTAAGGGAATTCTGAGGGTTTGCACTTGGGTATTATGATTATCTCAAAAATAGGTGGCCAATATTTTTGGTCTATAATTTTGCCCTACAGCCCTTAGCCATAAAAGAGAGAAGTGTACGCTGCCATCTATTGCTTGGTACAACAAATTGTTAGGGAATAAGTGTTTAATAATAATAAAAGTTTGTTAACAACACGTTTGGAAAAAAAAAACACACATAAAATTGTTAGAATTCATATTATTGGCAGAAATGATCATATTTAAATGTTTGTTCATTTGTATTTCTGATTTTCAAATTGATAAAAAATATTTTAAAATAAAAGTCATTATTACCCGTGCAGCGAGAAAACAAATTTGACTTTACTTCAAAAAAATTGAAAGAGATATGAATGATGCACAACTTTCTTCAATCATTTTATAAAAAATTATTTCTGAACGAGCAGTGCAGCTTAAAGTTTCATCAGAAAGTGAGAGGAAACACTTACTCAGGAAGAGTATCACAAAAGGTAAGCAATATTTCCCATCATGTTTAACTCGCCCCTAGTAAATGTTGTTTAAGACTCATAACATAGGTAAATTAATATGTAGAATTAATCATGGACTTTTCTCTACATTGAAATACTTTTATTTGTGAGCTTTCGGCCCTCTTACTGGAGCCTTCATCGGGCAACAATGTACTGATAAATAAAAATTCATTAACTGTGGAACTCCATTATAAAATAGGTATCTAAGCAAGTCATAACAATAACTGACATCTGGTATTAAAGTTATTAAATACATAGATTTATGATGAATATAAAATATAAATTGATTGCTTCAATATAATAAATATAAGGAAAATACATTATAGGTATTATGTAGAGAAAAATAAAGGAATTTTTCATACTTCAAATAATACATTGTAAAATTAAATGTTTAATTTTACATTGAAACCACATAGATAATGTGTTTGTGTAAGTTTCTAAATATTGTTTATGATTTTAAATTACAAAGTAAGTTAAGTAGTTTGGCTAGCTGAGAGAATGACTGATTATACTAATTAAATCGAGGGCTGAACAAGAGTTTAGGACTTCAGGTTTTATTCTGTACAATGTTTTTAAAAACCTGTTGTTACAAAACTGTTATTGTTCTTTATTTTTTAAAAGAAACCACACATAAACGTTTTTTTAAAAAACATAGTTATAGAACTTTATTGTTTTACATTTTTAAAAAAGAAACCACGCATTAAGGGGTTAGAATTCATATTATCATTTCCACCAATAATTTAAAACAGTAACAGTTTTGTAACAACAGGTTTTTAAAAAAGAACACACATAAAAGTGTTATAATTCATATTATTGGCAGAAATGATTATATTTAATGTTTGTTTGTATCTAAAAAACCTCAGGGCTTCAGACTGAATCACACAAGCAAAACCAGGGAAAAAAGTGAACACATACACAGAGTTTATTAGTAAAGGGAAATACATGTGAGATAAAATCTCCCCCATCTAATTTCATATTCAAAGATTGCTTGAAAACAGTATGTCTTTCTTTCCAGTATTAGCACCTTTATGCTTTGACAAGTATTGTTACGTAAAAATAAAAATTTTGATCCTTTCTGTTTAAAATTAGCTAAAAATCAGCTCTCTACTTAGGTAATACCCAGGCAATGCCGGGTAAGGATGGATTGTAATTAAATAATAATAAAAATGTTTTATGACTAAACAATTACAATATTCTTAACAACATATTTTGAAAATATAGGGGATGGAGTAAATTACATTAAAATGATTTTATTGCCTCACCAGGCTGTTAGAACCCACATTGCCACATCTGGTCATAAGTGTAAGACTGTCATGTTCAAAGCATAACATTCCTCCTTGCGTGCTTTCCAAAATGTACCTAATATTTCTCATTGGCTATTTAAACAGCCTAATCACACATAAATCTATACAGGCACTGCAATCTGCAACTTACTGGTGTGTCTTCATATGGAATAGCAAATATTTATTTCATTCTTCGTAAGTGATGGTTGAATGGGAGGTAAGACTGGAAGCCTTATCCATGGATTCTCACCCATTACAAGAAACTGTACTTTGCTTACCATGACTGAGGTACTGCTATGTATGAATACTGAGCATCAGAAAAGGCTATTACATACTTATCCCAAAAGCAATCAATTTTCATTGTCGTCAGACTACATACAAAACACCAAACAATGTCAAAATGTAGTTCTGATACATCTATTCCACCTCAACTTTATATCAGCTGTGGTTATCAGGTGACTCGCTTATTTATTAAAACTATCCAAAATAATTTTAATATAATGTAGTCAACCTCTGTAGAATTTTTGGCAGTTGAACTTAAGATTATACATAAATATATATTACTGATAATAATCATATTTTATGATAATGAAGTTCCAGGTTCCACAATTCCTCCCTCACTAATTGTGGTCAATATGATGTCCTTGGTTATGCACTATTGCCCACCACTATAATTTCAGTAAGTTTGTTTCAGTGATAAAAGTCAGTATTATACTACACACTATGATAAATTTTCCACAAAACCTCCATTGTATGTGAACATCAGCTTCCAAGTCTACAATTATGCTGAAAGAGTCCAATACAGTTACACCAGGAACCGTGACAGGTTCATAGACCAAAGGGATTGTTGTGAATCCTATTTTTTGTGAAATATTTTTTTTCCTGAAAACAGCTACTGATTTTGAGGAGTGGCTGGAAGTTTTTGGCTTCTGAGCCTCTGTCTCCTTCAAATCATGACTTTTTCAGTAAGAAGGTTTTCATTCATAACTTTAGCCTTCACTTTGTGCATGAAGACGTTGTGCTGGATTGGTCTGGTGCTATCCAAACTGTTCTTTTGTGCAAGGTTTTCCACTTTCACCAAGAACATTAAATGCTCCTTTCTTCAAATGTCGTGTCCTTTGGCTCTACCTTTTCAATAATCTCATTGTATAGGTCCCAAATAGGTTGCATGAGGTGCTACGACTCACATCTCTGATCACACAGTATTGCATTGGCACATAAAAAACACACTCCAATAAAGTACTATTAACTTTTCTATATTTTTTAATTAGTAATAAAAAAGTTTATGATTGAAACTAGTAAAAATAATTTTTTTGGCTTCTGTCAAATTGAATAAAACAATAAAAAAGGTTGCTTTTGTAAACAGTTTATATTTTGTTGATAAAAGTAAACTTTTAAAAAGAAAATGCACCAACACAATATTCATGGATTATCAATAATAACAGAAATTATTCTCAATTCTATAGCAATGTTTTAAAAACAATAAAAACCACAGAATTTTATTATCAGTGCCTAAGGTATTCAGAAAACTGCTCTAAAATCCAGGTGATGTAATAATGTAATGCCTTCTCAATTTCACATATCACTTTTACATTTTGGTCAAGGGTTACAATATAACCAAACCAATTCAAATCTGAAGTAAAAATTACACACCAAACCTTTTGGGTAGTCTTTTCGTGTTGACCTTGAGAATAAATTTTTTCTACTTTTCTTATAGTACTATTTTGTAGCAAATAATTATTTTGAAAATAATTTCATCTTGAAATATAATTATTAAAACTTTTGAAATTCAATTATTATAATGAGCTTCTACAGAAAATGACAAAAAAGTAAATAAAAAATTCAATTTTCAGATATTACAAAATCATTTACTTCTACTTTTACAAACTTTATATATCAACTATGTCTAATTATAAAATTTTGAATTTTGTAGGGAGTTTGAGTAATTTAAACAAAGGATCTAGAAATTATTATTTGTTTACAATCTGATCTGAAAAAAAAAATCACATTTGAATGAAACTAATCTTTCTAATTTTTTGGGGTTATAGTTTCAAATATTGAAAAGTACATTCCAATTACTATAAAAAAACATTTGAATGTATGACACGTTACATTCAGTAATAATAATAATGTTGATTAGCTTTGCATCAGAAAGGTCAAAATATTTTGCAGAACATAAAATGCTAACGTACAGATAACATTTACTTTCACATGATCTTTATGCAATAGATGGTAAAGCTTCCATTCATTGAAAAAAGGCAACAGGGTAAACTTTACTCTTGTGTTTAACAACATATTTACACAAATGCTTTATGTTTAGTAAACTATGTCACGTTTACTAAATATATTTCTATAAATAGAAAGTGACATTTTTCATATAATCTTGATGAAAAAAAGGCGATTAAAATAGCATACAAAAATCACTTTAAAAACACTATGTGTAGAGGTACTTAGGCATAATGTACATGTATAACAAACTCAATGCTCAAATATTTCACATAGTACTTTGAAGGGAAAAAAACATACTTCCAAATGTCCACAATTTTTTAATTCCTGTAGAGGCATCATAACATCATCCAAACGGCTTGTTTCCTGCACTTCTGAAATTCCATTAAGTCTCAGAGAAGACTTAGGACCCATCTAAAATGGAAGAAAAAAACACAAGAACATTATTTTCCATTATACAAAAAACATCATATAAGGGTTAACAAAGAAAAAAAAATTAAGCAAACTGCCTTTACTCAGTTATAATGTAAGAAGAATTTATTATTTTGTCTTAGTCTTGCATAAAATTTCCAAGTGAATACAACACTATCAATATTTAGGGTCAGTTACAAAAACGAATTCTTACTACTAGCTTCTTAAATGTAAGAACATCACAGAATACTAAGTATATTCAAGGTGAACATTATAATAAACACAATTTTCAGTTAAGCAGAGTATGAAACTTCAGACTAGCACATATATTTCTGCTATTTTCTTTGTTTGTATTTTCAAGTTAAAACAAGAAAAAATATTTTTTTTTCATATCTTTCTGGATTTCTACAAAAATTCAGTTGTTACAAAAACATCCCACTGTGTCAAGTCCAACAGTTATACAAAAATAGTGCAATTTTTTAAAATCAAATACTCAACTGTTTATATCTAAAAAAAATTATAATACAACTTAAACTACATAGATAAACAGTATAGAAATAATTAAGAATCACATAAGAAATTTGCGCAGCTAATAGTTGCAACTATTTATGGATAAGTAATGTTTTCTGGAGTAAATATGTACAAAATACAAATTATAAAACAACATTAATCTGTATTAATTACCAGAGGTGTTTTAAAAAGAAAAAATCAAAAGCTTTTAGAAATAACACTAAAAAATTCAGAAGAAAGTTTTGATATAGTAGCAGATTTACAAACTAAAACATGTGTATTATTTTCTCTTTAATAGAGAATATAGCAACATTATATCTCTTAAGCATTTGTTCACAGAATCAATCAAATTGACAGACTCTGTATCTATAGCTGTGGAGCTATATAAAGTAATGTTTACCATAATTTGGTATTTACTTTGTGTATCTTCATGAAATTTGGCAAACTTTTAGTAAACATTACAGGTTTATAGTACACGAGAAATCTAATTTTTTAATAATAATTTTTACTAAAGATTTGTCAGTGTATTTACAAAGTCTTTCCTTTGTACTGACTACAAAATTTATCAGAAATTTCTAAAACATTATTTATCTCAACAGCTTCAATTATCAAACTTTTACCATCTGCTTTGTTTTAATGTTAACATTTTCTTTACCTCAAAATGTGATTCCAATAGATACTTGCCTCTTCACACAGATTTAGCTATCTTCCTCATGCGTATGCCAGAGAGATTTGAATGTCACTAGCCTTGAGGCAACTTCTGCCTAATTTCACGTTTTAATGTGAATTGAGATACTGCATGATGATGTAATCATGCATCAAAGCCTTCTACCAATAAAAAAGCAAACATACCTCCATGTTCAATAACTTACTCTATACATTTATACTTGTGTAAACTTCATTCTTTGATGAGGCCATCAGACTCTATGTACAGACTCCAGCTGTGGCATGAGGGCAATACATTAATGGAGTATGGACCAGTATAAAGTGCATTAATATGTAATCTACTGAACAGACATTGGCTGCAGGAGGAGGGTGTCATATTACGTAGTACTGGCCCGCATGGAATATGTGCACTTCTCACTCCACTGAACAGACTAGCTGCAGGAGGAGAGCACAATCTTGCAGAATGTGCTCATCCGAACTCTATTGAACAGGGGGGTACATGTGACCTGCAATATACTAACAGGGTCACCACCACCCCATTTCTCACTGTATTGGGACTTTTTTTTTTTATCACCCCTGTGGTTGAATCCAAGTGCTGATAAGTCTCCATGGTCCACTACTCCAGCAGCTAAGAAGTGTTAAGTGGCAAGGGTCTCCTGTACTCCAATCAATGAAGGTGGGAGGTAGAATTATTGTAGGGTAGACCTGGAGAAAGTGCCTGGAATCCCATCAGCCCTACAGTCCAGACAGGTCTTTTACTGGAAGTGTAATGGGTGACTGTTGAACCTCATTTTTAAAAGCTAGCAAGCGAGAGTCAAAGAAGTGGGTAGAACACTTCCCTAATGCTAGCTTTATCCATAACAGTCAATGAAATAGCTACAGTATGAATTGGGCAATTAAGTAAATATACATATATATACACATGACATGAAGATACCTAAAGTGGTATCACAGAACACCCCATCTCACAGTGAACACAGGTAGAGCCAGGGTGTATGGTATGAGAGCTTTCCATTATCCTGGCTCGATGCAGATTTTGGATAAGTTCCCTGCAAGACAACACCAACAACCTGGTGGGATCCTATGAAATGAAAAGGGGACTCTAAAAGTGTAAGAGTATACATTCATAACAAAGATGGCAGAGTGATTGGAGAATGGCAGTCAGTGGAAGCTGAAACCATCAGGAACTAAAACAGCCAGAGGGTGTAGAGAAGGACTTGAATGTGTGAAGAATGGCCACATGTCCAGCTGGAGGAGTCCATTCTGTGGCCATGGGAAGAAGAGACACAAGAGTATGAAAAAGGTGAGGAATCAAATATGCAGAAATGAGAAACAGTCCATAATTATTCACATTCTAAATTAATATGTTAACCAGAAGAGTTGACAGACCCATCCAGTAAGGGTAGAAGGAAAAACAGGAGGGGTCCCAGTGTACGGACAAATGAAGGTAGGGATCCCAAAATGGAGAGGTCCATGAAAAAACACAGCAAATAGTTCAACAGGAAACAGGAGCCAATCTGGGTATGAATAATCTAATAGATAACAGACAGAAGGAAGGGAGACAGGAAAAAAGTCTGTAAACTACCAGGGCAGATTAAGTTTGAGGAAGGAAGGAACAGTCATGGAAGGGGAATATATAAGTGCAAAAGAAGAGAGTGAGAAGCATCTATAGGATATACATCTAAAGAATGGTAATTTTGTGGGAGAGGAAACAAAACTGGAAAAAAAAGGAAGCACAAAAGGTAGAGAGGCAATGGCATGAATGAAGCATGCTCGAGATAATGTAAAACACCATAAACTCTCTCAACATAGGCTCAGTCAATTTGACTGACCACGTGACCTCTTTGCACTTGATTAAAGTCTTTATAGATTTAATACTTCTAACTTTCAATATAATGTGCATATTTTCACAAAATTTGGCAGTCTTTCAGTTCATATTATAACTTTCACATACAAAAAATCATATTTTTTTATGAAGTATTTTCAATAAAATAAAATAAAGATTTGTCCATGAATATATTGAATAATTGTTTTGAATTGTCTGTGTGCAAAGTAATTTTCTTGTTAAAATTAAAAATACTTTTCGTCATTTCAAAAATCTCAAATTTCCTTTGTGTAATCCCTAAAACTTCCTAAATGCATTTCATAGGTTTTTTATGTTTTATGTCACGTTTCAATTATTATACATTATATGTATATATATATATATAGATTATTG